TTTTTCTATTGATTGGAATAGTTTCAGAAGGAATGGTACCAGCTCCTCTTTGTACCTCTGGTGGAATTCGGCTGTGAATCCATCTGGTCCTGGACATTTATTTTGGTTGGTAGGCTATTAATTATTGCCTCAATTTCAGAGCCTGTTATTGGTCTATTCAGGGATTCAGCTTCTTCCTGGTTTAGTCTTGGGAGGTTGTATGTGTCCAGGAATTTATCCATGTCTTCTTGGTTTTCTAGTTTATTTGCGTAGAGGTGTTTATGGTATTTTCTGATGGTAGTTTGTATTTCTGTGGGGTCGGTGGTGATATCCCTTTTATCATTTTTTATTGCGTCTATTTGATTCTTCTCTCTTTTCTACTTTATTAGTCTTGCTAGTAGTCTATCAGTTTTGTTGCTCTTTTCAAAAAACCAGCTCCTGGATTCATTGATTTTTTGAAGGGTTTTTTAATGTCTCTCTCTCCTTCAGTTCTGCTCTGATCTTAGTTTTTTCTTAATGAAGAGCAGTAGAGTTATTTGGATGGAGACTCTGTTACCATTGTTATTCTAAAGATTCACATAAAACTATTATTCTTTTTCTTATTCTAACATGTGTAGCCATTCTCGTGTCATTTTTATAGGTTATTTATCTGATAATTCATGTAAATTTAATTATTTTAATGAGCTATCGAATGTTTAGAACTATACTGTAATGATTATATAGGATAATGCTAATATTTATATACTATATGAAAGCAAAAAATTATGAATCAGAAAAAATAACAATAAGAAAGTTTATTTCTAATGAAATTGGAGTGGTTGAAAAAGTCATAAAGTGATTTGAAATTTACAAAAATGTATCTTCTGTAATGTTTTAGGATGAATAAAGATAAAAATTATATCTGGGTACTTTTTATCTGTTAGTTTACAGTAAATGCAATATGCTCTAATAGAAATTAACACCTTTGGAATGGAGGTGATGGCAATGTATTTTATGAAGCAAGTGGCTTATAAATAAATACTTGGTGAATGACATTTAAAGTCTCTAAGTGGTTAAAAATTGCTTCAGTAAGTTTTATCTATGGGATAGGTATAACTTAATTTTAACTCTGAACTTAGTTACTGAGTGAAAACAAATATTTAGCTCCCTTACATGAGAAGGCCTCAGGTGTTTATAACTATAGTCAAAACAAAACAAAAAGATTGAGGTGGGGGCTCAGTGTTTAGCATTAAATACTTTGTATTTTTTTTCTTATAAAAATTTTAATATCTAATTTTCATGAGGTAGGTTTTATTATAGGTATTGATAATATGTCAATTATCTGAACCTGGGTATATGTAAGGAACCACCATCAAAGTTTGTATATTGTCTTATTTTTTTTCTTACTTGGAAATTAACTTTTAATTTCTCAATGCCAGGATTAGTTGAAATATGATTATATTATGGAGATTTGGAAATAAAATAAAACTTTTGCAGATTCTTTGAAGACTCAATGAAGGAAATGTGACAGATATATACAGAAGAAATCTCAATTAACCAAAACCATTTAGTGTCTGTGGAAGTAAAATTAGTTTGAGTTATTGTGACAGTCATTTATCTTTTTATATTGTATTGGATTTTGATAAAGCATCTCTTTACCTTTTACTACTTTTAATTTCTGCCTCATTCCCAGGGTCTGCGTGATACTTTTATTAAGACGAGAACCATTTCATGTCATCATTAATGGAAATGACTTTGTGCATGATTTTATTTTTTGAATTGGAAGACTGTTTTCGAATTCACTGGAAAAAGTTTTCATTAGATGGTGCCTGTTTCAAATTATGTAATTTACACACTTTATTTTTTAATAAACATTCATTCCAATTCCAAGAACAGTAATTTAACTTGTTAAAAGAAAAACTTAAGACAAAATAAATTTAGCAGAGCTTATTTGATCAAAGACTGATTCATGAATTAAGCAGCACTTTGAAAGAAGAGCTTCAGACACCTCCAGCTCTCAATGTGGGCAGGAAGTATTTTTAGACAGAAAAAGGAAGTGACATTTAGGAACATCTTGATTGGCTACAGCTCACCATTTGCCCTATTTGGGCATGGTGAGATGAGGCATTTGCCTTGTATGGAAATAGTCTAATCAGTTGGCAGCATGTGTTTGGCTGAAGCTCAGCTGCTGTGATTAGCTGAGACTAAGCTATCTGTTATAAGAATACACTCATAAATTAGGTTGCAGTTTGTTTACATACTAAATCAGGCCAAATTTAATTCAATCTCCCCTTTTGGTCAACTGTCATTTTTGAGAAATTGACCACAAACCTTAGGCACTAATACTACTTTCTGTCACCATCATAATGGACTTGTTTGGTCTGAATATGGAATTCACAATTACCAATGTCAAGTCAGTTGGATGATTTTTTATATTATCTTTGTGTTTTTATTATTTTAACTATAGTGAGACCATCTGATGTATAACAGATGGCTGCATATGAACATTTAAGACTTGAGAGGGCCCAGGCGCGGTAGCTCACGCCTGTAATCCCAGCACTTTGGGAGGCCGAGGTGGGTGGGTCACAAGGTCAGGAGATTGAGACTGTCTTGGCTAACACGGTGAAACCCCATCTCTACTAAAAATACAAAAAATTAGCCGGGCGTGGTGGTGGGCGCCTGTAGTCCCAGCTGCTTGGGAGGCTGAGGCAGGAGAATGGTGTGAACCTGGGAGGTGGAGCTTGTAGTGAGCTGAGATCACGTCACTTCACTTGAGCCTGGGCAACAGTGCGAGTCTCTGTCTCAAAAAAAAAAAAAAAAAAGGCATCGAGAGGATATGGCATACTAAGGAGACTATTTATAATGACTATCAGGAGGGTAATATTAAGAGACTGAAGTATACTTCTTAGTAGGTGCTCCCATGAATCAAACTGGTCAAAATCAAATATATCAACAACAAGCCAGAAGAGGAATCTACTTGTTTTAATCAATCATCTTGTTTGTTGATTTCTTAAAACTGACTTTCTATCATGTCAGACATAATTTTCCAAGGGCAATAGGAGGTGTTATCTGTTGCACACACTCTTCCCTCATCAGTCAACGGATAGGCCAAAGCAATCATGTTATCTAAAACAACTGTAGCAGGAGAATTTAAAGATGTTTGACGGGCAACTGTAGCCCATTTCTGCTATAGTAGCTAATGTTTGAGACAGATTTCTAATCGTAGTCTCGTTACGTTTATGCCAAGCCAGGGAAGGAGCATTCTACCAAAAGATGCCCATTTATGGCTACTTAGACTTGCTGGCAAACTCCTCTTTATTCTTTAGTGTAAATTAAGAGGTGTGGACCAATGTTCAATTTCCAGTTGGCTATTGGAATAATCATGACAATTCTAACAGTATTACTGTTAAAATCCCTAATCGACATTTTCCACTTATTGAGACATGGAGTTGCTCATATATATGGTTGGTTGTTAAATCCTATACAGATAAAAATATACTCTGGAGAGGTACGACAGATGGTTCCTTGCCGTGTGTGTTAGGGGCTACAGTAGAGAAGCACTAGTAATATTTCTCCAAGGCTCCATTATGAAATCATTGCATGGTTGAAGGATCTTGACAATTAAAGGGATTAGGGTGATAAATTTCTTGACAAACTGTTGAATTATCTTTCTTTTGGTTATCCTATTCAATTTCTGGCATAATGTAACTGCAAATCCCTCATTATAGGTTTTGACTACTCTTAGATTTAAACAAAGAACCTAATGTATGAATCTAAAAGCCTAACCCTATACAAAGGACCAGATATTGCTCTTAGAACATCAGAGAAATTTGTTAGAAGGTGAAGCAGAGAATCTCTAAGATCATTTAAGGATTTGGGTTCAACCTAACATATCCAACATTCAGTTACTTTTCCTGCAAAAGCTATTGATTATGAAATCATAATAAGCATGTTATCTTCCTGGGTATACATAAAAAATAAAAACAGAGAAAAGAGGAAAAGAACCATAGTTTCTTGGTGACTAAGGAAAGAAGTCTTGATCTGTCATCTTTGGAAAGCTGTTCATGTCTGGGATGTCATTTGTTTCTAAGGAGAAATGTCCCTGGTCAATTTTGCCTTGAAGTTTCCAGTGGGTGTACTGGCCCAAGGCTGGACGGGTCCTCTTAAATTGAGAAATGTGGATCCAAGGCTCAGGCTCAAGGCCCTGAAGTTTTGCTGCAGAGAAGAACTTAGTGTAGTCCCTTGCAGCTGAGTTCAAGGGCAGTCTTCCTCTGGTGTCTCTTTTGAAAAGAGCTAATCTCCAGGGTGTAGACCATGAAAGGTCTGGTTGTCATCAGTTCGTAGGGGCGTCTTCTATCTGGTGAAAATATACTTTGGCAAAATACATTAAAGCCTTGCAGTATCAAGTCATGTCAGAGTTTGTAAAAGCAGGAGATACATAAATTCTATTATTAGGAGCATAGGCCTTCCAGTAACCATTTTATAAGGGATCAATCTATGTTTTCCAGTGGGAGTGAATATGATTGCCATTTTAATTTTTAATAATTTTGAACAAGGCAGTGTGGTTAGCTTTGCCTATTGCCATTGTGTTTATAATACCTTATTTGACTATTTTGCAGTTTGTCCATTGAAACATATGCCTCTATTGCTATGATTGGCCGAGACTCAACTATGTGTTACAAGAATGTGCTTGTAAGTTAGAGTGCAGTTTGTTTACATCCTAAATTAGGTTGTAGTTCACCACTTATAGAGGCAGCTTTAGGCCAAATTTAATCTAATTTAATAAACTAATGAAATAAATAAGAGAGAGCCTGATTCAGTTGAATTGTATTTGGAGTTAGAAATGTTTAAAGTTCATTAGAGGATTTAAATATACGCTGAAGTTTAAGAATCGTTGCTGTACAAAGGTGAAAAATAACATGCTTTTTAAATTTTCTAGTCTGTCAAGAACTACACCAAATGTCATGTGAGAAATGAGCAGATTTGTAACAAACTTACCAGCTGTAAAAGCTGTTCACTAAACTTGAATTGCCAGTGGGATCAGAGACAGCAAGAATGCCAGGCTTTACCAGGTAAAGATTTCAAAATTTAGTGAATGAGTTTATGGTATACAGATAAATACTGACATAGAAAAGTACATTTCGTAAGGACACTACATTTTCTAAAATTAAAGTCGTAACAAATATCAACCTATAACATTGTAGTACTAATAGCACTGTTTCTACAAGAAAAGTTTTTTGATTGCATATTTGCTTCCAATTATTTTAAGGTGTTCATATGTTTACTATACTGTTGAATTGATTAGATACCTTTTCATTGACAAAAATCTTAAAAATGTAGATAATAATAAGTACTCAGACTTGATATTCAGATTTAACAAATATTAACGTTTTGTCATATTTTATTTAAGTGCCCTTTATTTTCCAAACTCAGTGCATATTTTCATTATATATTATAACATTTATAAAAAATATTTTAAGGAAATAATAATATAGCACATATTTATTATATATTATATATTTTCCTTCTCTGTATCCCAGGGTTTTAAAAATATTATATATAATATGTTAAAAATAAATACATAAATATATTACTTATATGATATGTAACATAGTATATTTATTAAAATTATATGTCTAGTAATTTTAATGATATAAATATATAATTTATATGTTTAATAAATTTAAACCATAAATTTATATGTTCATTATATTTTATAACATATAATACAATATAAATTGTTTTTATATAACATATCCTATATATAATATACTTTTATAATAAATAAATTTCTTATAATAAATATTATCTGCTTTTATGAGAATCCAAATTTTACAAACTACAGCAAAGCTCATTTTTAAAAGTAATTTCATGTTTTCACAGTTAACATTGCTAGTGGATGCTAAGTACTCTTCCTTTGAAATATAAAAGATAAAATGAGAAAATTGAAAGGTAATACAGGCATTTAACCAGTTCTGCTTCTTATACAGATAAACTGAGATCCATGCTGGTTAAGTGATATGCTCAAAATTACGGGGCTGGTAAATGACAGAGTTGTAGCTATTAACTAGGTGTTTTATTTGTGTTTAGTATTTTGCCTCTCTTAATCCCAGGGTTTTTTTTTTAAAGAAAAGTTTCTGAGCCTATGTAATTCTAAAACATATTGGAAAATTCCATCACAGAATTTGTCTAAAAGAGAATCTTTCTTACAAGTTCATGTAATAAAATCAAAATTATTTTGCCTTTAAAAATACCATCGAGGTCAGGTGTGGTGGCTCACACCTGTAACTCTGGCACTTTGGGAGGCCGAGGTGGGTGGATCACTTGAGGTCAGGAGTTCAAGACCAGCTTGGCCATCATGGTGAAATACTGTCTCTACTAAAAATACAAAAATTAGCTTGGTGTGGTGGTGGGCACCTGTAATTCCAGCTACTTGGGAGGCTGAGGGAGGAGAATCACTTGAACCCAGGAGGTGGAGGTTGCAGTGAGCAGAGATCATGCCACTGCACCCCAACCTGGGTGACAGAGTGAGACTCTGTCTCAAAAACAAGCAAACAAACACACCATTGAGGCACTGGAATGTCATTCATACTTTGAATTTTGTTTACATACTGGCCTTTAAAGCTTTTAAACAGTGTGATGTGCATGTGTGCTCATTTTGAGAAAGATAGTATTAATAATGCAGTAGGCAGGATTTAAGAAGCAACAGTGAGATGATGCTAAGAAGTTGAAAGTGGTGTTGATCTCTAAGAATTAAACTATAAAATGAAAATGTAGATCAATGAAAATATTTACAAAGTTTCCTTAAAATGACAAGGTTAGTCTTGGACCAAAACAAGATTTGAATGAAGGAATGTATATATTTAAAGGAATATTACTTTGATAAGAATGGAAATTAGTTGCCAGTGGAAGTTTGGAAAAATGACAATAAAGTTACCTTTGGTAGTACTCATCTATTCATTCCCTGGGAAAAAAATGTTGCTTTGTTATAAAGGCTGCACTTGACCAGGCTGTTATTTTGGAGATACAATTAAATATATTATACACAAATTCCCTTTTCTTAATTCATATTTACTAAGCAGCCAACTGGCTATATATCGTTTGATTTCCATTCAGCTTATCTCAAGGAAGTGAACGCTCTAAATAGAGGGCCCAGTCTGTAGAGCAGTTGTACAGTTCCATGACAATTGGTGTATTGCATTTTTTTACATTGATCTCATATGAGCTTGGCAATTTGAATTTATCTCACTATACTCATTATAAATTAATTGCCTTCCTTTAAACCCCACTGCCAAGTTGATGCTCAATACTACAAAAGCCTGAAGTATAAAAATATTTGGTTTGGTAATATAATTTAGTTTAGCCACAAAGGCCCATGCATTTGTTTTTATTTGAATGATTTGTCAATTAACTATTTTTGTTCTCACTAAAAAATAAATGAGGAGACAGGCAATAATAATCTAAATTCTTCCTTGAGTCAGCAAGATGAGAAAAAAACATAATTTAAGAAAACTTTTGCATTGTAAGGAGAACTTTTTTGGTATTTTGGATTTAAAATGACTGGAATAATTGAAACACATACAGCCTCAAACTGAAAACCAGGAAATGGTACACAGTCTTATTAAATGATAATTATAGTTTATTGAGGGATTACTATGTTCCAGCTGCTGTGAGTTATTCATGGTACCCAATTTAATCCTTAGAGCAGCAACCATGAACGAACAGGAGTCCCCAACGTGGTTTTGAGTGGGTCTATTTGGTGAAGACTAGTAGTACTGAGACATTATTTGCTTTTAAAATTCTCCATTTGTTATGGGTCTACCATGGAGTTTTATAAAGGCTATCTGATGTATGTTATTCCTATAAAATGAATGTAGAAGAAGGTATGAGAATATAGCTGTCAAATGCCAGATATTAAAGACATTTACAAAAACATAAAACAATAAAAATAAAATATGCTATTAAGTTGTAATGTTCCCCTTCAACATTTTGTTCTGAAATATTTCAAATATTGAAAAACAGAAATAATTGTGGAGAGTACACCGAACGCCTACATTCTAGATTCTACAATTAACATATTGCTCTCTTTGTGTTATCCCTGATCTCTCTGCCTCTCCATCCTCTATTCATTCATTAATCCTTCTTTATTTTTTGATGCTGAGGTCTAATTTGAATTGTCAGCTACTTTCCCTCAGGAAGAGAATTTCAGGATATATTTCCTTTGGGCCTATTTGTATACCATAGGGAGCAAGACATCTCAGCAGCTGAAGAGTGAATTTATAGTGGGGTTTAAAATTATTATTTTAAATAAGTACATGTATTTGTTAAAGTTACCATTTTTAATTTTAAAACCATTTTTCATTTTAAAATGCTCCAAATCAGTAGATATAGCATGCATAAAGAAAAGTTCTGTGGGACCCTCAATAATTTTTAAGACTTAAAGACCAAAAATTTGAAAACAGCTGCTTTAAAACAATTTTATAAGAGTTGCAGCAATATATCCAAGGTCCTTCACACAGGGCCAGAGGTGCGAATACATTTCATGTGATATAGAAACTAAAATGTAGTCTAACTTTATAGATCAGTATATTAATGAAACACTATTGTTAATTAGCACACGCTAAAGTTTAGCCTTATTAATGTATTTATTATATAAACTTGTGTTTTAGAAAACAGTGTTTCAAGTTCAATTTGGATTCTATAGATAAACCACTATTACTGAATAATATGTTTCATCTTTAGAAAGACATGAATAATTGTATAAAAATAAACATTAGTAAGGAAAGATCATAACTCCTTTACTAATCATAAGTGAAATGAGACTTCTCTACCCATACTTATGAAAGAATCAGAGAACCCAACTTATATCACAATGATATACCTGAGCTATGGAAATTAGATTTAGAGGTCAATTAGCTTCACTTATAGGAGTAACTTTGAAACTGCTTTTGGTATAAGCTTGTTGTTCTTCTATTAAAGTAATTTTGTCTTATGTAAACTAGACCTTGGGACATAAATATAGTAGCGATTTTACTTATTGAAATACCATATGCCAATATACCAGACGTTACACAGAAAACCTAGCAGTCAACACATTTAACAGATGTCATAGAGCCATGATTTATCTTATATTTAAGATTTAAAGAAAAAATTGGGATGTTCTGCTTTCATTCTCTACCAAACTATTAGAAAAAATTTATTTGAAATATTATATGGAGATATTTAATATGTTTTATTTCAAAAATTTAAACAAATACAGAAGTATTCTGAAATGATTGAAAAATACATTTGCTTTTTGGTCATCTAAAACTGAGACATATTTTTTTTACTAGCTCATCTTTGTGGAGAAGGATGGAGTCATATTGGGGATGCTTGTCTTAGAATCAATGCCAGTAGAGAAAACTATGACAATGCAAAACTTTATTGCTATAATCTTAGTGGAAATCTTGCTTCATTAACAACCTCAAAAGAAGTAGAATTTGTTCTGGATGAAATACAGAAGTATACACAACAGGTAACATTTCTACTTTTTTACATTATGGAAATATGCTATGATAATCTCATAATTATTTGAAATGATTTTTTTTTGTTTTTAATACATTATTTTGCTAATTTTGGAAATAAAAGTAAAATTGATTTCTCAAGTGAATTGACACAAGACTTATTTTGTATAAGTAATAAGGTAATAATGGTTTATAAATTATCACTTTTTGCAGAGCACACCACTGTATTACCTTACCAGAGTCATCTTATATGAATAAATACACTTAAAGAGTATGTATACTTTAAGAATTATAACTCCACTTGGTATAGTGTGGCAGAAAGAATTTTTGCTTGAAAACTTTTCAGAGCAATTATAGTCGATCCTCTGTATCTATGAGTTCCTCATTCATGGAGTCAGCCAACTGCAAATGAAAAATATTTTTAAAAAGTATGGTTGTGTCTGTACTGAACATGTACAGACTTTTTTTTCTTGCCATTCGTCCCTAAACAATACAGCATAACAGCTATTCAATAGCATTTATGTTGTATTCAGTAATAATCTAGAGATGATTTAAAGTATATGGGAGGATATGGATAGGTTACTTGGAATACTATGCCATTTTATATCACGTAAGGGACGTGATATTTATGGATGTTAGAATTCACAAGGGACCTGGAACTAATCCTCCATGGATAGAGAGAGATGACTCTGTTACCAATTACTTGCTATATAGAAACAAATAATGCTTGCTTGGTACAGCTTACTTTAAAGAAGCATTGTAGATAGCCTATCAAAATGGTGGAGAGCATAAAATCTGGACATACGCTTATTTCTACAACTTAGTAGCAAGTGTACTTCAAGATGGTAATTCAAGATGAGATATGGATGGGGACACAGCCAAACCATATAATCTCCCTTTCTGTAGGTTGTCTTTTCACTGTGTTGATTGTTTCCTTTGCTGTGCAGAAGCTTTTTATTTTTATATAATCCCATTTGTTTATTTTTGCTTTTGTTTCCTGTGCTTTTGAAGTCTTGTTCATAAAATCTTTTCATAAACCCATTCCTGGAGATTTTCCTATGGTTTCTTCTAGTAGTTTTATTGCTTTGGGCCTTAAATTTAGTTCTTTGATCCATTTTTCTTTTTTTTTGGTATAGGGTAAGAGGTGGGGGTCTAGTTTAATTCTAATGCATATTGAGGTTCAGTTTTTCTAACACCATTTACTGAAGATATTGTCTTTTCCCCTATGCATGTTCTTGGTGTAATTGTCAAAAATCAGCTGGCTGCGGCTATGTGAATTATTTATGGCTTCTCTATTCTCTTCCATTGGTGTATGTGTTTGTTTTTATACCAGTACCATGTTGTTTTGTTTACTACAACTTAGTAGTGTATTTTGAAGCCTGGTAGTTTGATAGCTCTAGCTTTGTTCATTTTGCTCAGGATTGCTTTGGCTATTAGGGCTCTTTTTTGTTCCATACAATTTTAGGATTGCTTTTCCTATTTCAGTGAACAATGTCATTGGTATTTTTTAGGTAGTGCATTGAGTCTGTAGATTGCTTTGAGTAGCATGGTGGTTTTAACAATATTAAGTCTTCTGATCCATTTGCATGGAATGTTGTTCCATTTGTTTGGATCCTCTTCAATTTCTTTTTTTCTTTTCTTTTCTTTTCTTTT